TTGCCAAGGGTTTTGTTGAACTCCAGGCCGTGGTTCGGTCTTTTTCGTACGGTGACAGCAACATCCGCAACAAGTTCAACAAGGGCAAGCACAACAAGAACCCAGGAAAGAAAGGCTGGGACGACAGCTCCCAGTGGGACAGCTCCCAGTGGGACGGCTACTCACCCAGCAGGACGACAACTGAACAGCGACGGCTGGAACAACCAAGGCTGGGACCAAATTTGGAACAAAGCTGGACGAAGTGCAGCGCGAACTACAAGCAGCGTGCACCGTGTCTTGCTGTGTCAGGACCGCCAGGATGTAATTATCCCAAGAAAGAATTCATGTACACTTTTGTACAGGAACAAAAAGGAAGTTTTTGCGAGTATGTACAGACGTATTCAAGAAAGAAAACAAGATGTCCGAAACAAGAAAGGAGGCCTAGTCTAAGTAAGCCTCAGGAAACCCNNGTACGGACCTCCAGGCAAAGAGATCACAGGCTGAATCTAGATGTACATAAAGGAACGTAGATGTACACACAGGAAAGCAGGATGTACATAGCAGGAAAGCATGTACAGAGTAGAAAGGGCAGAAGAAAAGCGCAGGTAGGTAAAAAACCCAAGAAGGAGACGAAAGTCCCTGCCAAGAAAGCGCGTGTACAGGAAGCAGAAAGCCTTCGCAGTTTCCAAGAACACCCTAGGAACCCGCAAGAACTTTCTGAGGCGGGCTGTTCGTTTGTGACTAGTGCATGGTAGTCCCAAGTAGGTACAGTACAGAAGTCACAGGAAAGCATGACAAAGTCATGTGAACGTTCCGCAACACGAAGGCTTAAGCAGTCAGCCCGCGAAGAGAAAAGTGTGTGAGAAGTGTAGTGTGGGAAGAGAGCCAAAGAAGGCTCTAATTTCAACAGGTGAAGAAGAAGATGATGATGACGACGACGATGATCATGATCGGCGCATCGGTGATGACCCACAGCAGTGATAAGCAATGATAGATGTACCACCATTACCGGCATAGCCATCACCAGGACCATCGTCGCTACCAAAAGCCGGGAACGTCTTCAGCACCATTATCACCAGCATCAGCCCTACCATGCCACCCGTGGACCGCACCCGAGAAGCCGCAAATCACCACAAGCGCATTTCGGGCAACAGACATGAAGAGGGAACACAAGCGGGATTGGAGCTGAGATGGGGTGATGGAGGCGGTTGAATGAGTGGAGAGAGCGACTGAAGGAAGCGAGCAATCAAATGTAGTTTTGTTTCTAGAGTGCAAGATGAAGTGCTTGGGAAAACTGTGGCCAGAAAGGACGATCGAACAGCTTTACTGACACCACCGAAAGACTTCACACGAGTCTCATATGCAAGCGGACAAGGGAAGACGAGTACAGACAAACGTCGAAAAACAACGCAACATGTCGGCATTCCTTTGCTTAGCAAACTGGAGAGGACGAAGAGACGGGGAGTTTGACCAAGTACGACCAAGTACGGAAAATGGGAGGGGTTTGGGATACCATTGTGCTCGAAATTTCAAGGCCCCAATTGGTTGCAACAGACGTCAGAGCCGTGGTCGCAGGCTTGGTAAACCTAGAGACTGTTCCTAGAGACATTTCAGTTGTGCTGAGCATTTGGCAACTGGGAAGTTTTACTTGATATTTTCGGTCAGTAATCCAAAGACATCTTCGCAAACGTCGCTGGTTTTGCAAAAGATTGCTTTCAGCTCGGGCTTGTCGCAGCTGGATCGTGACAGGTGGTGATGGAATGGAAGAGATATGGACACAAGCAATGACTGAATGTTGCAGATTAGCTGCTATCTTGTCTCATTCCTTCCGAATCCCCTTTGAATGAAACATTTCTTGAAGTTCTGCTTGCTACTTCGGTCTGCTTGGGCAGATAAGAGTTCAATGGGGCACGGGGTTGTGCCAATTCAGGCTTTCTCTGGAGCTGATTCCACATGATCCGACGTAATGGAGCCGCTGTGCCCGCCACTCCCGCGGCTTTTTCTGCGGGGCGTTTCCGGCACCCAATACGAGCAGGCAGGGAATCGGGATGGTACTAACCGGCAGTGGCTCCTGGCCCAGCCGGCAAGTGAGCTGCGAGTCAGGGGATTTGCCACTGCACACGAAAGCGCCTGGGTCTCGGATCTTACATACATGGAATTTGGAACTGCCTCGGAAGTTCTTCGGGGTGTCCGTGCTCTTTGCTTTCCAAGCTTACAGAAGCGCTGGGTACATGCTTGAGTGAAGCTTTAGATTTGAGGTCTCCGGCAAGCCTCAGATGGAAAAACCAACGAGGCAAATCATGCAGTTGCAACACGAATGATGGTGTTGCTGCTCATCTTGCAAAAAAGTGTTTCTTGCTGCAGGCTCGCACGGCTCCATTGTGGCTGCATGCGTTGTGGCAGGGGTTCGGATCTCATGTGCATCAGCTCAGTTTCTTAAGCATTTGTGTTCCCTTACGCCCTGTGGCCGGAGGTTGGATGTCACCGATCCTCTGCGGCTCGGCGGCGGGCGCTGTCAGAGAGCAGGTCTGACGGTGATGGTGGAGCGCCAGATGAAGCGAAGCTGGGCCTGTGAAGACTCCAACTGTCTGGAGATGAAGTGTGGTGACAGCTGACGCCTCTCAGGAAAGCAGCTGCTTCCGGTCTGAGCAGTTGGCGGCAAACGCACACGACGGACAAGGCCCGGTTCGTCGGGGCTTCAGGGGCCTTGAGCAAAATGTCGGAGCTGCCATGAGGAGGTGAAAGTGCACCTCAGCTGAAGCATTGGGCACCGCTGCGACCCGCATCCTTCCGCAGGCGAAAATGCGTGTCTGCACTTTTCTGAGGCCGGTGATCTTGTTTGGGATCAGCGACTTGCTGCTTCCGGGTCGTACAAAGCGGATGCACCTCTTCGAACCTCGTGGCTCTGCCAGCAGAAGACGAGAGACGAGGGCTCCAGCAGTTGATAACGCGGCTTTAACTTCGAGCATTTGACGGATTGAGATGCAACGTGAGGTTGGGCGAGAATGATCGATGCAGCCAGGAAAGACTTCTGTGGGATCTTCTGTATGTTGTATGTGGAGCCTGGCCTTCAACCTGTTGTTGAGAGGGTCCAGTTGTCTGTCGGTCTCTTTTGAATGCACTGTCGCTGAGGACGACTCCCAAATTGTTCCAGCCGCCAGCTGAGCAGTGTTGGTTCTGCATCTTCGGCCATGGCGGCCACGTGTGGTTTTGTCAGGTCGCCTCCCTCGTTGAGATTGTTGCCTGCGACGACCTGGGAATGCACGGGCGGAAAGTGTTATGCTGAGTTCTGCTTGGGCGTTATCTGCGCGTCATAAGCCTCTGGGTTCATAGGTGCAAAGTGCCCAGGTGCAGGTTCGATGTGTCGGCCGCGGCAGCTTGCGTGGTCTCACTGAGCAGGCGAGGTATGTTTGTGCTTTGAGAGTCGTGCCTTTGCACCACTTCCCAGGTGACTTCACCGAATCACTGGGGATTGGCCCTGGTGGAGGAGAGTCCGGGGGCTGAGAGGCTTCGCTTTTTGAAAGGGTGGGGATGGCGCCCCTCTGCTCAGGAGCTCCCGGAGGCAGTGCTGCCTCAGGCGACGGCGGTGTTTTTTTCGGAGCCGCCTCGCAGGTCGCCTGCCTTTGCTGTCTCTGAGGACCTCCTGGACCTCGACGCGGATGCAGGCGATGCCGGGCGCACCGCCGCCGTCGTCGCAGGACGCCTCTCCGAAGTGATGGCGCCTCGTCGAATTCCGCCCGTTCCCCGTGGTTTAAGCTTGAGCCCTTCGCCTTTCAACCGAGGCGAACATGAACCTTGGGTCTGAAGAGGAGGAGAAGGCCCGCTTGGGGGTGACCGCCCCACATCACTTTGCAGCTGTTTTTTCTTACCTTCGGTTCCGGATGACTCAGCTGCAGTTTCCAGCTTGTGCCTGCCAGATTGGGATCCCGCTTTCTGATGCTTTTCCCCTTGGTTCCCAGATTCCCGCCAACTACTGCTTTGGGAGTAGCTGAGTAGCTTCAAGAGATAGCCCCTGTGCATGGATTTGTCGACTTGCCTCCCGTGCCCCGGAAAGGAGGCTGACGGGGAAGCAGAAGACTCGAACCCTGAGGCTTGCGACATTTTGTTCTGCCTGTGCGAGACGCGTCTCGCGGGCGTCTCGCGGGCGTCTCGCGGGCGTCCGCCTTGTCCGCGGCAGGAGGGGCCTGTGATGTGGACGCACGAGCGGGAGGAGGCGGCCGAGAGCCTCGGCCAGCTGACGGCCGATGCCTGGCGGCAGCGCCTCGAGGACGTCACGCGAACGCTGCGAGGCGGGGCGAAAACCCCACCCCACCCCCTGCGGTGGCTGTGCTTCGCTCTTCGCTCTGCTCAGGGGTCCCGGTCTGCACGACGCCCCAGTCCGCGGAGGCGGCTGTGGCTCGGCTGCAAGCGGAAGCAGCCCGGGCCGATTCTGCGATGCGAGTGCAGAGAGGTGTGCCCATCCCTGGCGGTGGCTTATGCAGCGCTGAGCTTCCTTTCACTGGAAAGGACCGGTGAGCGGGGTCAACGGACCTACCAGCTAGCTTCACGAGCAGTTTGAGACGTCCGGGGTCAGAAAGAGGAAAGACAAGTAGCCTAGGTCTCTAGGTCTAGGTCGTGATGTTCACGCGGCATCTGCCATGTCTCCAGGAGGATCGACTTCTTCAGGAACGAGGACTGGGACCTGACGAAGCGCTTGGAGGCCAGGGTGGCCCTTTGGGGGCCAGTCGCATCCAATTTGGAGCAGCGGCTCAGACCCTGCAGGGACGCGTTGTCCTGGCAGGTCCTGGAGAAGCAGATGGTCGAGGTTCAGGGCATGGCCCGAGCGCGAAAAGCTCTTGCTGGAGCCGGGGCCCCGGCCTGGGCCTATCGAATCCCTGGAGTGTGTCTCCTCTTTGCTCGCACTTGACAGGTCTTCACAGACAAGTCCGGCTAGTGGCTTCTGCTCGAAGGAGTTGTGTGAGTTTTCGCTTGCTTCCCCTCAGACAAGACATCGATTTTCCAGCAAGAAAGCTTCTGCTTCTTGTGGCCTTCGGTGCACTGCTCAATCGGATTGAGGTGTGACCAGGATAGGCCACAGTTGTTCTGAACAGGGCAGAGAACGAGGCATTTCGTTCATTCACTGCATCTGCTTCGGGAAGGTGGCTTCCAAGATCGCTCGTAGAGTACATGCATACTAGCAGCACTCTACAAGCCACACTACAATGCTACACGTGCGCCCCCCGTCGTCCCCGCATTAAAACAACTCTAGGGAATCCCAGAGTGTGCTAGTCATAGGCCAAAGTCTCAAAGCAGGGACGTCAGAGTTGCGCCGTTCACGCCCCGTTCCGACCGCCATCAAATGGAGGCCATTGAAGCGCGCATGGCCAGCCTCGAGCTCCGCTCGAGAATCGGCGTGCGGAGTGAGAGCCACCGTTATCAAAGACGACCTCCAGGTCTTAATGGGAGCATTCCACGGTGGCAGTTGCCATTTGGCTCGGACTAGAAGGTGTTGTCGAGCTGGCGTTTCCTTTTTCATCTGTGGCACCAAGACTATTGACAGCAGAAGTGGTAGCAGTAATGGTGGACTGCTTGCAAACATCTGCAACTGCCCGAAAGTTGAACATGGAGTCCAGAGCATTTTTCAAAGGTACGTTGAGGGTACAAGCCTGGCTACATGTTGTTCGTCATGTTGTAAAGGTTGTTCTCGTTTCTGCTCTGTGTATATCGTGAGCGAGATGTTACCGCTGCGACGCATCATTGTGGCGCACCTTGGCATGCAAGCAGTGTGAGCCAGAGCAGCAGCATGCTTTTGACTTTCTGCGTTTCTGACCTTGTGAGGTTCATACCTCTGTACTTGGCTTCTGCGACAGCTGGAGTGGAACAAGATGAAGAACAGGCGACGCCTTGAACTCGACGAGTTGCGGTCGTGCATCGCCTCCCCAGGACGACACTCCGGTGGCACGCGGTCCACCGTGTCGCAAGCGCCAACCTGAGACTGGGAAGCTGGGAAGGAGTTTGTCACGTTGAACTTGGCTTCATCTTGTCATTTCTTTCGAGGTCGCCGCTGCTGGCCGCTTTGAACGTCAGTGGGACTCAGGGCCAGGCGTCGTTCTGGTCTCTGGTTTTTTCGTCTGTTTCTCCGAAGTTCCTGCAAGCACCTTCCGGTAAGGAGATGGAAGTCTTAAGCGATGCAGCTGCAGACCTCAAGCCTCCCACTCTTGCATCCCTTCTGACCTCAGATGCTGGTCGTCTACAGCGGCAAAGGTTGGGACTGGTCGGAGAGGATTGGGAAGAAGAGGTTACTTTCATTGCTGTGTTTCTATCTACATCCTGTGGTTTTCTCTCACGTGTTTGGCCTGCCGAAGTTATGTGTACGGCCCGTTTCTACCTCGCAGGAAGGGCAAAGGTGGCAAGGGCAAACATCGCCGAAAGGAAGTGAAGAAGGTCCATGGCCTCAAGATCGCTGCGCCATCTTTAGAGACCTGAGCGCGATTCTGTCTCGATCGGCTCACAGTGCCTCACGCGGCAAAATGCAGGCACCTCATCTGTCATTCCATAGCTTGGAAAGTTGGGTTGAGATGTTTCGTTAGCTTAATTTTTTTAAATAACATCGGGTGCAGCCTGGAAAGCCATGGCGCTCGTAGTGGCGGATGTCAGGCGGCTTCTTGCAGTAAATTTTCATGCACGCATGCAGTGGAGGTTCTGCCTGTGTGCAGTCTTTTGTTTCAGGTGTGCCCCGGAAGTCCACGAGCTCCGGCAGCCACATGGTCGTGAGTGGCGCTTCATGTCATATCATTGCCTTCCAGTGAACATCCAGCTGCCGGCATGGTCCAAGGTACAAACCCACGTTGTCAGTGTCGCGGTTGGGAGTGCTGCAGCTGGCGGTGCCTGGCGCGGCTTCTTCAAGGCACGCTGATGCAAGCAGGCGGGTCTTGCTGTGGTCGCGCCTCCTGCTGTAAGCCTGTCCCATCTTACATGTGTACTCGTCTACACAAGCCTGCCGTCCAAGTCCATGCATGATGTGCCGTAGCGAGCCATTTGACACCGATATGCAAGGCTAAACTCGGACAGCCAAAATGAGGGGTCTTGTTCCAGCAAATCGAAAGGGAAGTTGACGGCAGATCCAGAGATACTCCTCACAGGCCTCTCGGAGGCCTCTGCCTTGGAGCCTCGGCATCTGCAGCATTGCGCACGAGCCACCGCACGGAGCCGAGCTCTCTCCGGAAGTCCCTAGCGTTGGTGGATCCTTACGTTTGCAGTGGCGTGTTTCCTCAGGTCGCAGAAACTGCAGGAGAGACAGGACGCGGTCTATGGCACTGGAGGCATCTGAGGGTTTCCCTTGCCACTGGAACATCGCACACTCTCGAGCTTCGTACATACACATGCACAGGTACCCAATGTGCAGAGCGATAAGCCAGTGCCAGGAGCATTTCAAGATCATGTATGTATGTATGTGCTAAGTGCACGAGCATCGAGTGGGATGCGGGTGTGGCCGTATGCCTGAATGCTATGCGCATGCATATGCATGTGCATGCATGCATGCATGCATCTGCAGATAGCTGTGTGGATACAGCATGTAGCTTTTGTCATTGCACGTATCTGTCTGTATGTCTGTTCTTGTCAAACTGTCTCATTTCCTGCGTTTTTCAATTATTCAGCTAGGCTGAGGACGGCAGCGGCGAAGTCGCAAGCTGTGGCATCTGCAGCTCTGTGGCAGCCATGTCTGACGGCGTAGCGTGCTGTTTTTGTTGACTTTCCGAAGGCCTGTGAGCCAGGGGCAGTCGTGGAACTTCTGCAAGTGTCGTTTATTTTCAAAGCCTTGCGTTCCAAGGCGGGGTATTTGGTGGAGAACGCCGCGGGATGCTGCAGGCTGGATCGAACAGCAGACGGCTGACGGCTGACCTTCATTCCTTTTTTTTTTTCGACGTAGGCTGGCCTTATGCTTTCCCTTCCCTCTCCTTCTGCCGCCGTGCCTTGAATGCATTGAGTTAAGTTCAAGCCGCTCTTGGAGGATTGGAGCGCCTTGCAGCGCCACTGAGGAGCAACTCCAAATGCAGGGGGGCTCTGTGAACTGTCCGAAGCTTAAGTCTGGAGAGAAGGGGAAGTGGATGATAGCAGCTTTCACTTCTTTGCTCCGACATGTGCGTGATTGTGTGATTGCAGAAGTGCGCTTGCTCCACCTGCAGGCATCAACTGCAACGGCGAAGGATACTTGACATGCTACAGGCATGTGCTTCTCGGGCCCCGCGCTTGTCGTGTGGAAGTTTCTAAGCATCAGAGCAGGTGTAAAGGAACGAAGAAGATGCGATGGCGCCTTGACTGGTATCGTACCGTATCGTATCACCCTTCAACAGCGCATCCAAATCTGCCTCGGTCAGCAAACTGTGGCCACAGGTTCTTCGTGTGCTTGATATTCTGTCTCTTTGTGGCTCTCTCTGTCTTTCTTTCTCTCTCCTTGGCACAGCTCAGGCTTGAAGAGGAGACTCCCCAAGCGGAACTGAAGGATTGCATCGAGTGCGACGTTCCAGGGTTGCACTTGGCTTCCCTGAACCCGAAATCAAGGAATATCGGGGTTTACCGTGTCAGGTTTGTTGATCAGGTTCCAAATCGCCGCAGTGGCCATGGAAACACGTACTTTATTTGAAGGACAACAACAACTACTAATACTACTGCGACTGCTCCTGCTACTGCTCCTGCTCCTGCTCGTCCTGCTCCTGCTCCTGCTCGCACTGCTGCTCCTGCTGCTCCTGCTCCCGCTCCTGCTTCTCCTCGTGCTCCTGCCCTTGCTACTGTACGGATCTGCTACAGCTGCTGCTGCAGCGGCTGCCACTGATGACAAATGCTTCTTTAACTGCCACCACTAGTTTTGGTTTATGACCACGGTAGATACTTGTTTACGCAAGAGAGCTGCAGGGAAGACAGCCGCCACCATGATTGGAGAGCGCTATTGCATGAGGTGCTCGCAGGTATTTTGCCACTTCAAGTCCTGTGAGGAAGATGTGTAGGTGAGCCATGGAAACTACACAGCTCGAGTCGACTCAGGATGAGGCGGTCCGGGCGACACATCTGGATCCGGAGTCACCAGAGTCGCTACCCGCTACCCTTCTTGTCTCCTACTTGGGAGGCCTCCCAAAGTTTGGAGCAAAATGCTATGACGCCTCCGTGAGCACTATTCACAGTGTGGCTTTTCACGAGATCCCGTCGCGTGATGGCAAGCAAATTAGCGAGTCACGCGCCAACTATGCGGTCACCGAGCCTATGCATGCGATAGTGCGGGGGTGGAAGGAGGAGTTCGACCGAGCCGACCGAGCTCGACTAGGACGGCGGCAGTGGATGACGGTCAGAGACTTCTTGACTGCACAGGACTTTCCGAAGGCAGCCACCGCAGAGGGCGTCTTCGTACACCGAGCACGCCAGGATCGATGCCATCTCTGCAAACTTGTGTCTCTGGACGACAACAACAGAGGCAGGCAGGAGCTGGCCAAGGTGCTCGCGAAGCAGAAGCACAGCCGGCGAAGAGGCCTGCCTTGAAGAAGCCAGCTGCACAGGAGAGACCGTGTGGGATGGTTGTGTTGTCTGCGCCTTGGGACTTCCGGCTGGACTTCTGGCTGGGATGTCCCCGGTTGGGAGACGCTTCGAAGTCGGCCAGGGCTATGCCGTGCTGAAAGGCCCGTCATTCAGCAGCTTGATTTTTGTTTAAAAATCTCTGTCCTCATTTCCTTTCATGCAGCAGAGCGCGCAAGCGCGTGGCCTGGGCCATCCCCCGAGGACTCTTGAGGGTTTAGGGTTTAGGGTTTGGGGGTTTAGGGGTTACGTTGTCTGGGGCCATCTACACAGGCTCCTGAGGATCCCGATGCTGTGCATGCAGTTTTGGTTCCTGCTCTGGAAGCCCAGTGTGCTGCTCCGGAGCCGCCTGCCAGCCTAATGAGTCTCCTGGAGCCCCTGAGACTACTCTTGTTGCTGAAGCGCAACAGCGAGGCAGAGAGGGCTGCTTCGTCTGTACTTAGGGGCTTCGAATCGGCTGGGGATGTCCCCTGTTTAGGGGCCGGAAACGGCTAGGATTGGAGGCCCAGAAGCGCCTGGGGATATATCCTGTTTGGGGGCCGGGAACGGCTAGGGCCATCCCTTGTTTAGGGTCAGGAAACGGCTATCCTTGGCTGAATGTATCAGGCGGCCTTGTACTTCCGGCCTCTGCCCACCTACGAGCACGAGCTGGTGCTGCAGTTGTACTCGGAAACGCCGTTCTCCTCGTCTTTGTTCAACCGCAAGACGACCACCACGTGGGGCCAGAAGCTCGACAGACATGTCAAATGTGCCAGGACAGCATGGCAGCTTTTGGAGACGCACTTTGCCGAACTCCTGTGCGTGCGACTTCCTTTGCTGCCGGGTACACTTAAGACCGTCGCCACCGACATTGCGCGAGACCTCGGAGAGCCATTAATCGTCACCTTAGGACTCGTCCATATCCTCGTGAATGACTCCTACATCAAGGTGGGGCGGCCCGAGGTTCGCATCCTTGACGATGACGTGTTCCCGCAGCTACGCCAGCGTCTAGCCAAGTATGGACAGCAGTCGATGGCGGATGAGGCCCGCTAGGCCTTTGTCCAGATCGTGTGCGTGGCTACATCAAGTCCTTTCAGAAGGCCTCTGCCATATGCACATATCAGCACATCATCCAGACTTAGGGTTGGATCTGCCTAGAAATACAACAACTTCTGAAGTCGGGCGTGAGAAGTATGATAGGCGGGCTCTCCATATTCTAACTGAATTCATGTAGTTCGGCAGCACCCGCACTGTGGACCAGATCAGCTCCGGACGTTCTTCTCTGCGGTCGCATGCAAACCGTGGCGAGAGGAGGACATCTGAGTCGGTCGGCAAGGATGTGCTGAATCATTCTGCCGATGTTTAAACGAGTCTTTAAAAGACGTGCATGTTGCTGCATCACAGGATGCAGTCTTCTCTTTCCTAACAGCTGCACGGCTCGTTTGAAGGCTGTGGACATGGCTTTCGAATGCTGGGATTTTTTTCACCATCACCGTGTCTGTCTTCGCAATGCTACCAGCAATCGTCCTAATGTTTCTAGCAACATCTGTCACTTGTACGAGTGTTAATCGAAATAGTACCTTGGACAGAACCGTGCACCCACAGCAGGGAAACTTGGCTAGTGCTACCAAGCCTCAACCGTCACCCTGTCGGTCCGCATGTTATGCATCCTTGCGTAACAACATGTCAAGGTTGGCGTGCATGTGTGACCAATTGTGTTGGTTCCCGATATTATTTGGCGTACCGGGCAATGGTATTGACAAGTTGGTGGTTGTATGGAAGTTTTGCGAGGTGGTATCTGGCACTGATAATCTGGCAGATATGCAGTCAATAATCCTGATCAGACTGAGTTTACTGACAGCCACCCACAATCTTTTGTATTCGCGTGACGTAGCGTCTTTGACCTTGTGTGTCTGGCTGAGCTCAGGCCACAGGATACGTACCTTGTGGCCGTTGCCAGGCTACAGGGCTGTCAGCCGCAAAGCTGAAGTCCTACAACCGCGCTTCGCCTGAAACGGTCCTCCCAGCTCTGCTCTGTCCGTTTGAGACTTTGCTTCGCTCCCAAGGCGATGAGAAGTTCAGAAAGGCTGGGTGGATCCCGCAGTGTTTTACGCATCAGCTTTCCCTGGCTTGAGATTGTGGCGCGGACCCGGAAGATCAAGTGCGACGACGATGGGAGGACCAGATGCAGAGAGGGTGCAGGGGCTTTCTTTCCATTGATGCTGTGACTGCCATCGTCCCAAGATCATCAGAGTCGTCAAACTTGTCTGCTTGTTGATTTTTTTTGTCTTTCTCTACTGGTGATTGGCTCTGCTAGTGCTAGGAAGATTTACACTCTTTGAGGGTTTTCTGGTTTCCCAAACTTTGGGCGCTGAGACCAAGGGTCTACTCATGCTGTCCTCCTCTAAACCATGGAGTTTGCCCAGTGCGCCCGGTCGGAAGCATTCAACAGCGGTCTGTGCATCAGCAATTCTTCAGAGAGGGGTGGTCGTTCCGCAGACAGCCACATGACACATGCAGCGATAATGCGCAATTTAGGTCTTGGTTCTTGGTCCGGGCGTTTTGCTCAAGGATGGGCCCTGCTCCATTATCAGCACGCACCGTGGGCCCTGGAACATCTTGGGCGAACGGTGATTGCTTCAGCACAGTTTGTTGCTTTGCAGTTGATTCTGGTTCCGGTCCCTGTTGCATTGTTTGCACTATTCTTGCAGTCTTGAAGTCGAAGGTCTTGTTGCTCCCCAATAAATTGGAACTGCCATCGCTATCACTTCCAGTACGTCGCTTCTTACTGTTTCACTCCCACCATCGGTAGGTAGAAAACAGAGCATTGCGATTTGGATTCTCTCCACGTTTCTACCTCTGACTGTTCGCTGTACTAAGTTCATCTGTTCGTTAGCGTTAACATTGGTGCTACCCGCGCACCTTTTTCTGCCACTGCTTATCTTAATGGTGGTTGACCATTGTTGCTTTTTTCTTTTCTCCACCTGGACTACTTCAAAGTCAAGTGCTCCAGGTATGATTGCCGCTGCGCTTCTTTGGTGCTAACTACTTCTGCACTCGTTCTGCTGACCGAAGCTGTGGAATTGCAGGGCAAAGCTGAAACGGGTCATGGCCGCCGCAATCGCTTCCCGGCTGCACAGACGCTTCAACATGTGCTGGCGAACGGTTGGAAACTAGAGGCAGGCTTGCTCGCCCTGTTCCCGGAAGGCTTCTAATCGTAGCCCCCTGCGCTTTTTTATGCATCCTAGGCGGAGGTGGAGGCCAAAACGGCAGTCTCAGAAGGAAGGGAGGCTCAAGAAGTGAGGGCTCCGGAAGCGCCCAAGGAAGAGCCGAAGGGCACATGGATCGGTAGCTAGGCACATCCTTTGTTTAACTTGGATTGTGGGTAGGCGCTCGTTGTGCCCGAAGGGGACATGCTGTACTTGCCGAGTTTTGGAGCGGCTTGCCGGCTCGAGACACGAAATTTTCGAGAGGCGGAGAGAAAAAGGGAAGTGGAGCGCACTCTTTCTTTTGGTCGCGTGTGGGTCCTGTGGGTGTTTTTTGTATGTGCAGCGGCAGTCAAGGTTTTAGACCCAGCATTGCCCTCTTTGGGTTCCTCGACCAGGTCACGTTCCTTTCGGACATGTGGCGCTATCACCTGGAAACCAATCAGTGGTGAGCCGTCTCAGCTCCTGTTGTCATCTTTGTCATTGCTACTAAGCTGCTGCCACTTTGATCAGCTACGACTGCTGCCACTCCGACGACGACGACGACCACTGCTACTACTGCTCCCGCTGCTGCAGCTATTGCTGCTGCTGCTGCTGCTGCTGCTAGCACTACTTCCCATTCTTGCTACCACCACCACGGCGACGACTGCTGCCACTAGGACTGAGGCCACTACTGAGGCGACAACAACAACAACAACTACTA